CGTGAGCTCCCAGTCATTCACAAAGCTAACGCCGGTAGATCACAGGTCGACTCCCTGTCCTGTACTCTGACCCACTGTGTTTGTGCGCCCGAATGTGTCGGACGCGAAAGCATTTGACACATTTGGCCCTCCCCTCCCTGTCTGCAGCAGTCAATAAACTTTGCTGCCTCTATCCATCCACAGAGACATTCGGCCCGCCCCTCCATCTTCAGCATCCAATAAACTTTGCCTCCTGGACGCAGAGACATTCGGCCGCTCCTCCCTGTCTTCAGCGTCCAACACATTTGCCTGGCCCTCCCCACCCGCAGCTTTGGACACATATGACCCGCTCCCCCCAGTCTGCAGCATCAGGCACATTGGGACCACACCTTCCCACCTTCAGTGTCAGATACACCAGCGCGCCTGAAGAGCCAGAAGGTTCTGGAAGCAAGTAGGTTCTATTGTCAACATACAGGTCAATGGTACCACAGTCATTAAGTCAACTTAAGTCTATGGTACCACAGCCACACACCCCTCCCGCAGTGCGATCGCCTGCACCTGAACGCGTGGAACATAAGTGCCTGCGTTCCAGTCCAGTGCAATCTGCAAAAATGCTGCAAGCATAACAACATTGAAAAAAGTGAAGGGGGTCTGAATACTTTCTGAATGCACTTTAAATCATTTGTGTTGTGGGCATTTTGAGTTCATTGTTAATATTGAACATCTGTATTCATATTATTAGGTTTATTCAATAGGAAGATACTGTAAATGCAGTAGTGCCAGTAAGCATTTTAATGTGTTTGTTTTTCAAATACAGGTGTTTTTTTTTTCGTTGGTAGATCTCATTGAGCTTGTCATTTGAAAAGTTGATCTTAACACAAAAAATTGTGGGCGCACCTGTGGATTAAGGGATGGGGAGGCAGACTGGCTTCAGATATTATAACTATTGTCACTGTGTTTATCTGCCTATTGTCACAATTGTTTGTTGTCCAAGTATTGTAATGACTGTCCATTTGTTGCCTGCAAATTGTAACGTGTGTATATGTGTGAAGTTAAAAGAGAACTATGGGGTTAAGGCTTTTCCCCATAGTTCTCCTAAGGGCAACGGGAGGACACAAACTAGCGTCCTCCCGTCACCCTAGGCTCAGTATACCGCGAGCTGTAACTCACGGTATACTGAGACGCCGCAGCTGAAGCAGATCCCGACAATTATTCCGGGATCCGGTCAGCTGCGTGACTGACAGCTGGCTCTGCCTATCTAGAGGCAGAGCCAGCTGTACCTGCCCCCTCCCCCGTCCGTTCCGCCAGTCAGCGCTGGCGGATCAGAGCGGGGAGGGGGGAATCCAGCCCCTCCCCTGTCACGGCACAGAGCCGTGACAGGATCGAGAGGTGAGCGAACGCCGGTATGTGTTCGCTCACCTCCCGATCTACTGAGCCGACCTGTGACAGTCTCATTGTCACAGGTCAGCTAGAACTATGAGGTGAGTGAAAAGCACTCACCTCATAGTTCTTCTTTAATTAAAAAACTTGGACTGTTGGTGGGATATGTAGACAGGCTGATAAACATTCATCTGAGGGTGTGTAATTGACAGAGGAGAAGCAGATTTAAATGACAAACTAGTTTTCTTGCAGCACATGAGTGCCAACTGGAAGTCAGTGTGTCCATCTTCTGGAAATGTTACTGTGACCATGGCTGTCACAGTACTAACATCCTCGTCACAGCAGGCTTATAGTTTATACTAATGTGAAGACTTTAGCACATGCCTGTGTGGCTTGCATGTTCTTTTGGTTGTCAGTACATGGGCAGTAGTGCAGGTTTTTTTTTAGGAAGCTTACAGAAGTTCCTGAACACAGAATGTATCAAGGGCATGTCCTGCTCTATGTTTGATGCAGCCTGTGTGCTGAAATGTATGGTGTTGCACTGCCACCAAAATGAACATTGTTCTTACCAGTGTATTCTGGTGTATTTTGGTGAATGTGGACACTTAGCATATGTTTATCATGTAATATGAATATCTTTACTTGTTTAACTATGTGCACAATAAAATCTCCATTTTCAAATCAGAAATGTAAAACGCTTCTGCAAGCTTATATTCTCATATTAACAAAACAATGATACCAGAAATACCTTAAAAATAAATATTTATTGTAAAAGTACAAAAATAAATATATAAATATTATTAATGATCCCACATATATACAAAAAAGCAGTACAACATTCAATACATGTGTATTCCATTCCACTGATAAATTGTTTCTGCAGACATATTGCTGTTTATAATTTTGCTGAAATAGCCAATATCACCAGTATATGTGAGGTATGATTGAAGTCACGTGTCTCAATGTTTTGAGTACATATTTTGTTTATTTTGCTGAGCTTTGCTGATTTTTGTTTAATGATAATGTGCCAGTTTGGCCATCCAAATTACAATAAAGCTAAGCAAAAAATACAAACAAATGATGTTGCTTTAAAGTCAGCAGTGCCATACATGACTGTACATATTTAGAAAAGAAGCAAACGAGGCATATATGGAGCATAGTACTGTGCCCCATGTCAGACACTCTGTACTCAATTGAGGTTAAATGTCAATAAACATTTACTAGTGACCACTGCAAAAGATAGGCATCTCTTTTATCATATGCATAGAATAATGAGGCAGCATGTTTTGTTAATATTAGTTAATGGATGTGATGATGTGTATTTAACTGGACTTCAGTCTTATTATATTTATATTTTGCTACACATTTATTTTAAATGGAAACTTTAGAATATTTTCAGTCAGCATATGTTTGAAGTTTTTATTCTGTTTACTATTTAATTTTTGAAGAAAGCAAATATAGCCTGTGTATCCTATCTGAGAGTTTTAAGTTAATTTGCAGGTCACATCTTTTGTGATTTTTTTTTTTAAGGCAGTGTGCTTTAACACACTATTTAACTATCTAAAACTATCTAGAAAACTCCATAAACTTATAGTTTCTCTTTAAGGGCCCATTCACACCACATCCAGATCATCTCCAAACCAGATCCCTATGCTATTTCGGGCCTCTGTTCACACCAGCGTAGTCCGTTCCAGACCAGACCAGAAAAATACTGGGTGTCACATTTTGTCTGGTCTGGAATGCACTGGAACTGCGGGCAGGTTCACACCATTTTCCAGACCAGATCTGGTCCGGAAAATGGTGTGAACCTGCCCTTAAGGAGTTTCAATTTACAGTAAATTTTAAACAACCATTCTTACCCCTTTGTGGAGTAACAAATATGCATCCCTCTACCATATCGTTTACTTGGCTGGTAAAGGGTTAACCATTCACACATGATAGAGCTCGTATATTGGAGATGCAAGTGGAATTTCAAATAGTGGATTTTGTTTTGCTTAGTCAGGGAAAGGGAAGACAAAATACATGGATTGATCAAGTTTAATTTAGCTTAGAAACACATGAAATTATTCTACTATTTGTACCCTACAACAGTTCTATCTGAACTTCAGCCCTATTTCTAGATATCTAGACCCAAAGTACTGTTAAAAAAACAGGGGGGTAATGGCCTCAGACCAGTGCATATGTCAGGGTATCGTAATTTTAGGAGGTTCTGATTTCAATGAATTCTTTGCTCTTAGATGAGGCATAAATAACTGTAAATCATCACCAGGGAAATACATCAGTGAAATGGAATGTAGACAGAATTAGTTTTTCTGGATTTCATCCTTTTAATTGCCTAGACATTATCAGTGAAATGAAAATGACCTTTATGGGGAAAAAAAACTGTTCTACAGTTTGAGGGTACATGTATATACATAAGATATATATATTAAAAAAAACACATTTTAACAAAATAAATAACTAAATATATTAAATAAATAAATTAATCTGTGCTTTTTCTTCTGTAAGACACAGAATACTGTACTTTTCAAACAGAAAAGATGCACCAAACATGAACCTATGGGGTTCGTTTAACAGCTGTGTAACTTAACATAAATAAATAAATAAACTCGATAATAAATAAAGATTGACCTTAAACACAAATCTATTAAATCATTCCTTCCTCATTTATAGTAACACTTTATACTCTTTGGCCCATTCAAAGGTCCACCAATAGTGAACATTTTAGTGACTGGAGATATGCTGGAAAGGTAACTTTGCTAATGGCTTCTTTTATTTCTAAAAGTGAGACACTGGTAGTGAGAATTTTGTGCCTGAGTTCCCAAGTCTGCACACCTGCCATGGTTTTTGTGAGGAGGGGGCGTGGCGGGGGGAACGGGTTCAGTCTTTCAGAATTTCTAGGAGGAGGAATGTAACGCCATGGCGGGCATGGGTAGAAGCTGGGAACTAAGGCATGGAGATCTCACTAATGGAGTCTCACAGAATCATAAGAGGACAGTGGATGGTTCCGCTCACCAGACCCCCACCTATAAGTAAAATATTACTTATTGGTGGATTTGACTTTATAACATAAATTTAGACCTGCTGTGAATCATAAATACCTTATACACAGGCCAGCTATCAATGAATTGATCTGCAAAAAAATCATCCAGAATTTTACACAGTGACAGGGTCACTTTTGTTGTTTGGCAATTGGAGCTCCATTCACTTTCAAAAATCAGTTTGGTTCAATGTTCTCTTTTCATGTAACACTAAATTAAATATGTAATACTGGGAAGCTAAAGTTTTGCGTTGCATATATTTGCAAATATATGTGAAGCCACACTGCCGCGTCAAGGCACCTCTGCAAGGTGTGGTTAATAAATGTAACAGACACAGAGGTTTTTGTTGCATATATTTGCAAATATATGTGAGGCCCCATATTTGCAGAAAAGTAGTTTCTTTACCGGAGAATGGATTGTGAGCATAGTTAGGTTCATTTAATAGCAGTGCAAATCCTGGCATGTGAATGTGCCTCCAGCCTCATAGCTGTATAGCTGCAGTGTGAGATCTAGAGCACTGCTGCCTCTAATTGCTGGTGTCATGAAAACTGGGTGAGGTCACTTTGCTTTCTGCACCTCTCCTGCTGCTTTTTGATTATTGCCCAACCAGATCTCAAGGGGCAGCTTTTGTCCTCTGCTTGTCTTTTTGGAGAGGTATTTACTCTTTTTTGCAGGGACAGCTTTGTGGCCACTTCACCTGTAGTTTGTAAACGGATCTTGAACATTGCCTGCTGTTTTAAACCAGCCACCTGTGATGTTTTCTGCTTGTGAAAGAAAATGTTTGTATTTCTTAAGCACCTTACATCCCATTGTTTTCCTTTGAAATGTTGTGGATGGAAAGCTCATTCCATAATGTACAATCACTTCTGTTATATGATACCTCCGACAAAGAATACAAGACAGGTTGGAAATAATAGCTGTTATCTCGGCCTTGCTTGTGTTTAGCAATTGCAAGCTCTTGCTATTGGGATTCAATGTCCTCTGATGCTGCATGATGTTTCCTATAGCAGCCTTCATATACTGAAAGATCTTATACAGTTCAACAAATTTTTCTTCTTCACTTGTATCCGTTACATTGAATTTAGGAAGATCAAGGGAGTCCGGATTACACAGACTGTTGACATCCAGGCTTTTTAAGTTTTGATGTTTCTGTACAAAAATAAAATGTAAGGTTTAGTCATTTATACCACATGACTGTTTGTTTTTCTTATAGCTGAACTCAGAAAACAGCCAAATACACAGATAAAATACATATATGGGAGCTGTTTATCCAGTCATAAGAGTTGCACAGATCTGTCTTGTTGGATAGGAGACCTGAATATACTCTGCTGCAGTTCAAGTTGAAGTAAAGTCACTTTTTGAACTTTTCCCCATTTAGAATCTTAGAATACATGATAAAACAACTGTCAAATAAACACACCCTGATAAATTAACCAATATACAACATTAGCTAGCTTTCTTTTATGTTAAATGTACATGTTATCAAGAAGAAGGTAACTCTTTTAAAGGTTTAGGTCCTCATCCATATAATAACTTACAGCCTTTGCTTTTATGTAGTCACTGAACTTCTCTGTGACCCTAGCGTACCAATTATAATAAATAGGTCATCACAAACTGGATGAAAAATGCTGTACAAAATTATGTTCTAAACTTGACTTTCCTGCGTTAGAATGTCAGATTATGTATGAATCTGACATTCTAACGCAGGAAAGTCAAGTTTAGAACATCATTTTGTACAGCATTTTTCATCCAGTTTGTGATGACCTATTTATTACAATGGGTATGCTAGGGTCACAGAGAAGTTCAGCTGAAAGCAGGAGATTCAGCTGAGAAAACCATCAGTTGAACTACACATCTTATGCATTATGGCAAAGTCTATGCCTCTCCCTACATTAGTCGATAGAGTTATCAAAGGTAAGCTTAGTGCTCTGTCACCTGTTTAAAGGCACTCAGTCTGCGGTCGTATGCTTTTATATAATCACTAAACTCATTAAAGTGTATCTAAAGCCTAAACGTATTTTTAGTTTTGGATAGAGTGATAAGGGGCTAGAACCTGTGTCGATTTTTTGTTGTTGCTGTGTGCACCCCTGCAGTCGAGATTATCCCTCTTTATTTGTCCTGGGGGTCACTGTCACTGAAAGTGAGGAAATGTCCAAAATGTTGAGTTGTCACCAGAACAGGAATATAGAGAAATCTTCCAGTGAGTGACAACTGTCAAAGAGGGGATTTTCCTCACTTTGGGGAGAATTACTCTCACGTCTACCTTTGTGCACAGGACAGGAAGTTAAAGAAAAACTCTTCGATGATACAATGATCAAAAAATAAAATCTGTCAGCGGTTTTAGCTCTTCCCTACTCCAAAACTGAAACTAGCTGTGGATATACTTTAAATTTTAATGTCTTTATAAATCACAGTAGGGCATCATTGCCCCCCATATAGCAAGCAGTCCAATGGTATCACTCATCTTAAAATGTTATGTTTGGATATTGTCTAGATTACAGTACATCCAGTATGTTAACAGCTTGACTTTTTTCATAGTCTGTGAGCTATACTTGACTAAAACTGTCAATGTGTTTGGCCTTTTTAGGAGGTGGTGTTGATCGTGGTATACTGTATGTAAATAGGTATTTTAAGGCCTAGTCAGACTAGTTCTCTAAAAAACAGTTTTCACTGTTAAAAAGGACATTTATTTTATTAGTTTTAATATCCGTTAGTGTTTTCCAGCCTTATAAAAGTATTTAGAATATTTTGTTTTTTCATGGATATAGAAGAGGCAGAAGAGAGCACTTATTGCATTATGACCTTTTACTGGACATTTCTGTCTCATGAATTTCAACATAATGTCTCATGAAAATCATGCAGCCTCATAAAAATCATTTTGCATAGCTTCCTCGGGTTACATGGAAGACCTGTGGTTAGTACATGTTATAGTTTTTACAGAAAGAACACTTTGAGATATTGCTTTAGCTATACCCCTCTTCCTATATAATATTGCTGATACGTTATATTGTTTCTAAAATCTAACAGCCTCCCACAACCGGCAGAACCCTGGGTGTAGAGATATCATCCTTCCTTCCTAGAAATCATTCTATTCTGTCAGCTAACTCCCTAACAGTTTCTGTCAGCATTTCATAGGCTGTCAAAAAGTCTTCAGACATCACACACCCTATTGTCTGACACCAGGAAATGATCCAAGTCTCAGACCTGGTGATGCAACATGCATAACTGCAGGAATCTGACAACTTCCCCCTAATCATTTTCATGACAGAACAATGTTTTTTTCCCCACTAGAAAGAGATTTCATAATATAGTTAACTTACATAAGTGTGAAAGAGTGTCTCAGCTTCCATGTGCATTTGTTTTATCTGTGATTGGATCTGTTCCATGATGGCAGTCAAGTTGTTATTGCATTCGTTGACATGTGCGCAGAGCGGGCTTACAGCATCCAATGGCTTCGCTCTTCCCAATAGCAGAGCCCATCGCTGGAAAATCAGTAGTTGCACAATCACTGTTCAGGAGAAAACATATGTTTCACATTACGCTGTTGAGTAGCCTGCTTTTATCCCTGTGACAAATGAGAGCTGTAACATCTCTGCTGTGTGGTAAGAAAACTTTTAGCGTAACGTTTCCTTTATTCACTTACAGAGATAGATTTTGCTTTGTTCTGAAGTGGCAGAAAGGTACTTTTAACTACTTTTATCAGTAAAATTAAGCAGACTGTATATGAATTGTCAAAAACTAAGCTTCTAATTTCTAATTTGCATAGGGAAACACTTTCCCATCTTGCATACATCATTTGACAAAGCTCATTTTGAACATCAACATTTATATGGTATGAAATACATTAAAAGGCTATTGACAAATGCTAAATAGATATCTAATGGTAAAGGCACAGTATTGACAGTGGCTAAATCACTTTGTTAGTACCACACGTGTCTGCAGTGAATATGTGAGGAGCTGATTCCGTCATGTGCCTGGGCTTGCCTATGAGAGCTTGCTAACATACTTGTACAGGAAAAGTTAACTTCTCATTTACTGAATCCGATCAGTCTACAAACTATATAACAGCTCACAAATCTCTCTGAAAGAAAAATATGTACAACATGCCAGTCTGTTTATAATTACATATCTTAAAGCACTCTAAAAAATGTGTGGTATGCCAGTTTCTTACAGCAACTAAAGCAGCATAGCAAATCAGTCTTTTTAAATGTGCGGAACATGAGTTACCTGCCAAAAGCTGCATAATCTGTTGAAGCCTCCCCTGGGCAGACTGTGGAATATAGCTGGTTTCAGGAGGGTTTCTTTCTCATATTTATAACCATGGCTTATATAGCAGAGAATTAACAGAAAAAAAGCTAAACAATTCAAGGCTCTCCTTCCCCTTTTCAGCCAATCAGTAAGTACAGGAAGTGAGCAGAGAATTTCATTATTCATTCATAGTTTTTTTTTTTTTTTTTTCTTTGAACATGCACTACTCAGTTAAGTCTAGTATTTCCATTGGGTTACCTCATTTTTGAACTGGAAAATCCCTGATGGGAAAGTATTGAAGGGGGGCAGCTGAGTCACACTGCGTCTGTTTTAACAAAAAATGTTTGACTTAGTACATTTTCAGATTCTCAGAAAGATTTAAGTATGTAAGTGAAAGTTGTATGGTGGTAACAAGTAGATTTGAGTGTACTTTTACAGCTATAGCACATATTCACTTATAGTGTTTCTCTTGCTATAAAACTGTTTTGACTTTTTTTAACAGCATATTATTTGCATTCTGTTTTGTTAACATCTAACTTATGAAGATGATGCTACAGTATCTTCAATGTTAGTTATATGACCAAATTAAAAGCCAGTAAAATGGCAGTTATAAGTTATTGATAGTCGTAAAACCTTTTATGTTAGCCCAATAGCAGTGATCTGAGGATTCTCACTGTTAATAATATTTAGTAAGATGCCAGTATAAATAATAAATTATCTTTAAAATAAATAAATATGCCCATTTTCTTAAGATCAATTACCTAAGGGCTTGTTTATACCAGTCAGCATACTAAAGTTAAACTTCAGGCAAATATAAAAAAAAAAAAAGCTTGATCCAATTATTTTAAATATTTAGGAAAACAGAAAAAACTACATATAATCCAATTAAGTGTTTCTTAACGTGTAACAAAACTTAGGCATTAAAGCTAAAAAATGCATTCAAGTACCTTAACTATTAACAAAAATGTCCCTAATTTGTGTATCACTCGGGTGTAGATCCTCAAATCATCTCTGAATTCATGCTGACAGTGTCCTTCCTACTGGAGAATGGCTACTTTTGTTCCCCCATGTTCCCTGTGTGTGTTGTAAAGTAGCCACCACTCCAAGCTCATTCCCATAATGGACTACAATCTCAATACAAATTAGTAAACTGAACTGAAGGCAGCCGAGTGAATAACCGAGCCGAAGTAAAGTGAGTCGAACGCTGTTCGGCTATTTACTTCAGCCTTGTACGGCTGATTTCAGAGGTACATTGGCTAAAATCAGCCATACATTGGCTGCCTTCGGTCAGCTGAACATGCTGTGCATGTCCTGCTGAGCCGAAGTGCAGAAGGAGTTCCTCGCTGCCGTTCGCCCCATTCTCATAGCGGCCAAGCGGCATTGATTGAATAGCTGAATGCCGCCGAGCGGAATTCGACTCGGCTATTGTACTCACTACCTCCAAGGTAGCGAGCAGAATGGAAAAAAAAACGTAAATGAATGAAAAAAAATGTTGAAAAATTATTTTAAACATTGTAAAAAGATAGGAAAATAAAAAAATGAAGAAAATAATAAGAATATTTTTAAAAAAACACAAAACAACGTAACCCAACCGCACGCGACGAACTCCCGCCACATAATGTCGAATCTGGCAGATACCGGCAAAATATAAGCAATTGGGCGGGGCTAGCGGTGACATCACCGCTAGCTCCGCCCAAGTGTTTCCTATTGGCCTGGCACCTGCCAGAGTCTTTTAGCAGATCCTGGGGCAATAAATAACAACTGGACGGAGCTGGCCGTGACGTCACAGCTGGCTTTGCCCAGTTGTTGTTGTTTAATGACAGTTCAGCGTCCCCAGGTCATCAAAGGATGCCTATCTGTCATTACAACTGGGCGAAAAAAGCCGGGAGATCACGGCTGTCTCCGCCCAGCTGTGATTTGCGTGAAGAACGGTTGGCCCTTTGAAGCAAATTGGTTTCGGCTCGGCTGAGCCGCTCAGCTGCCTTCGACTGAACTGTAGTGCTCCGGCAGCTGAAGTGAGCCGAAGGATCAGCTGAAGCTACGGCTGGATCCTTCAGCTCTATAGTGAATAATCCCCTAAATGTTAGATTGTAGTCCATCATAGGAGTGAGCTTGGAGCGATGACTACGTTACAACACACACAGGGACCACAGGAAACAAAAGTAGCCCCCCTCCAGAAGGAAGGACAGTGTCAGCACCAATTCAGAGATGATTTGAGCATTTACAGCCGAGTGATACACAAATAAGATACATTTTTGTTAATAGAGTACTTGAATGCATTTTTATTATTTAACTCTGGAGGTTAACGTCACTTTAAAGCACATCTAAAGCAAACAGTTTTTAGTTGTGGAAGAAGTAGCGAAGAGTCAGAACCTCAGTTATGTTTTTAGTCTGTCTGTTCCAGCTGGGAAGATCCAGCCTCTTTTTATCTTCCTGGTGACCACAATCACTTTCTGTGTGATGAAATGCCACTGCTTTACTTTTTCCATGACTGCAGCATGTATTCCACACGTTTAGTGTGAAGGCTTGTTACTCTGACTCATGCTGTGGTTCCTCCTACCTGCTTGTATGTCACCACAGTAAATAGATATTTAGATACTAAGATTATGATTTTTGTCTGACATTCATTGACACCCAATATACACTGAGTGGCCAGATTATTATGACCACCCCATCAGTGCTTTGTTGGACCACGAGATGACTTCGTTGGGCCGCCTCGTGACTCCACGAGATGTTAAAAGGTGATGCGAGGAATCTGACACTGCACTGTTGCCATTCTGTTGTCTTGTACCAGTCTTGCCACTCTCCGTTCTGCCCTAACATTGACTAGTCGCTGACGGCCACAATTTGCACGTTCAGACCCAGATTTTCGGCTGACAGTCCAGTCTTTAAACACTTTAACAGCTGCTCTTGAACATTTAACGAATTCTGCTGTTTTGCTGATACTCGCTCCATGGCTCCGAGCGCCAACAATCATCCCACGTTCAAGGGCTGTTAAATCGCGTTGTTTACCCGTATCTTCAGAAAAAATCACTTCTACTGTCGTAGGAAAACAACCTGCTTCCCTATTTATAATGGCCTGGCCCTCTAGCAACTTCAGCGTGAAAAATTAGCTAATTTGCCTACAAACGTCAGGTGGTCATAATGCTCTGGCCACTCAGTGTACAGCACACATGGTTATACCAAGGCAATGGACCTGATTTACTAAAGGCTATGCGTACTGATGATCATATTGTATCAGCAAAGTATAGTTTGCTTTGCATAGGAATGTCTGCATCCACTTAAGCCATGGTATTCCCAAAATAAAGTCAAATCATTTTCACTAATGTTTTTGTGTCCACGCAACCACTTTTAACATTTTTAAGTCCAAATACCATATAGGAATAAAATATGGCACAAACAATTTCCATGCTGTTGTTTTTTCTTCCCCATAAAATATGGTTTTCAACTTAAATTTTTCACTTTTTTCATTCTAGTGTTGATCTTCACATGCCTCTTTTTGAGCCACACCCTGTCTACATACACCCTCTGCAGCATCTGCTGCACATCATTGCTCTAGACCGGCTTCCTGAGTGAAAATGGTGGACCAAGCCTGCACAATGTCTGTCACCATGACTGCTTGTAGTCTTCAGGCGGAGCACATGTGATAGGTTGACTGCACAGGAGCACATTTGTGAGATAGTTGTCACAGAATAACAGGAACTGCCTCAACTAGGAGCCTTGTGGCATCATCATTGTAGTGATTAAAGCTGATTTGCGGTATAAGCAAATATTGTCTAAATACAAGAGAATTTATCCAAATTGGAATTTATCCAAACTGGAGCAGACAGAAACTGGAGCAGTTGCCCATGGCAACCAATCAGCTTCTCTCTTCAGTTTGTTCAGTTATTGTTTGAAAATGAAAGAGAGATGCTGATTGGTTGCCAGGCACAACTGCTCCAGATTTTGTCTGCTCCAGTTTTAATAAATTCCCCTCAATGTGTATTCTTACTAGAATCTTGGCATATTTTGTGTATTTCTTCCAAATTGCAGTAATCCAATGTGACACTTTGGCTTGATGAAGAAGCTTCCTGCTACTCTCTGTGCTTGTGCAGGGTGACTGGTCTTGTATCTGCCCCTCCTGTAATTTTGTGCAGACAGCCTGTAGTAGGAGGGGCCTGCTGGGTCCCTCCCACAGACTCTGCTCTCTGCCCAAGCTATCAACAGCACAGTGATGATGCCACTGCTACTTTTAAAAGGTAATATCTGAGTTTGCAAAACATTTAGTGAACACAAAGTGGATTTATATCCTTTGTGGCTATTGAGCAATATATTTTAATGAAGGTCTTTGTGCCTAGAGTTAAAATGTAATCCCCTCTATTCATTTGCATAAGTAAATTAGGTCCAGTGACCAACTATAATGAAGCAACGATAAGAATGACAGCTCCATAGCTTGCACATTCAAAAACAAGTCAGCGGTGGCAGCTCCTATATTTTTATCCTAACTAGTTCTTTTTAAATATTCAGATCTGCAATTATGCTTTAGTAACCACTGCACAAGAATTCAGCAGGCGCTGTTTGATCAATAAAAGCCATGCCTCTTCTTGTCAGCTGACCGAAGTGGAATTTTATTGTGGGCTACACTGCTGCTGTACCAGACAAAAGGGAAATACATAAGCAGTGACACAGCTGAAGTATTTAGTAACCTCTTTTTCCCCAGTTCTGGAGATTAAATCAGTGTTTGGTTTGTAACAGCTAACATTTTGGCCATGTTTTGTCTACCACCCATTTAAACTTATTTGTCATTCATAAAAATAGACACTACAGGCAGACAGCTACACACATCTGCTACAGTACACAGGCAGGAGATGACACTGTTCTGGATACACTGTGTACAGTTTTTTTCTACTGGCTGCTTAGTTGAGTACATTTCATAATATCCAGTGATATTCACAGATTCTGTCCTTGGAAAAATGTTTGCCCCTGAATTTCACATCTGATCAAGTGTACCATGCACTTTTCTATATGTTAGAACTAGCTGTCTGTTGAAGGTAATAGATT